CTCCACATCCCAGAAAGGGCATTCCTCCAGGGTATGCTGCACCGAGTCCACCTCAGCACCACAGTGGTGGCAACAGGAGTTAGGCTCCCTATCAATCCTGTGCAGGTACTCACCGAAGCATCCATGTCCGGTGAGTACCTGCGTCGTCCAGAAGGATAGCTCTCCGCGGGCCCTGTCTACCCATTCTTGTAGACAGGGCCGGATGGCCTCGGCAACCCTCGTTCCTGAGTGGCCCGTCGCCTCCTCCAGGTGGATGCTCCACCTTAGGAGGAGGCGTTGACGGGCCTGCAGTCTTGCCATAGTCTATGGCCCTGGCCAGATGTTCGAGGTCTCCCCCGGCACGGAGCTTTTTGACACGCCGATAGGTCTCGGCGTGCATTTGTGCAAGGAGCTCCAGCAGGGGGAGACCGGCCATGGCGGCCATATGCGACGCCGTCCTATAGACCCGGATGAGACGAATGGCGACCCACCGCTGAGCGCGGTGAGCCAGGGCAATTATGCGCTGGTTGGTCGCCATCGCACTCGCCCAGACCGGGGCCCTATATAGGGCCATGGACTGGACGACGCCGGCATACAGCCGCCTTGCCTTCTTTTTAGGGTCGCCGAGATTGGGCAGGAGGCCACCCAACATATTGGCCACCCTGCCCAACTTAGGGGCCAGAAGCTCGAAATGCTTCTGAAACCGCCATGTATCAACCAACATGAGTCCCAGATATTTTATCGTGGGACCCGTCTTCACGGAGACACCGTCGATCCGGACTCGGGCCCCAGGTGGTCCCCTTCCAGGGCTGTCATGTATGAACATGAGCCCAGATTTGAGGGGAGCCACCTTGAGGCCCATCCTGTGCAAGGAGCCTATCACCTGGTCCACCTCCAGACGTCCCTTTTCCAGGGCGCTCCGCCAGCCTTTGCCCCCGGCTAGCACCAAGGTGTTGTCCGCGTAACAAACGACGGTACAGCCGGGGGGAAAGGGCAAGGCGAAGGACTTGGTCGTACGCGATGTTCCATAGTAGGGGTCCTAGTACGGACCTTTGAGGAACACCGCGGTATACCGCCCTTCCGTACTGGAGTTCCGCTTTGTTGCGGAACTCCAGTCTTCTATCCCGGAAGTAGTCCCTAATAATTGAGACCAGTTGGAGGGGGGGGGACCCTGAAATGGGCCAGACCCGCCTCCACCTGGTCCCAAGGGAGGGAGTTGAAAGCGTTGGCGATGTCCAAAGACACCGCCAACACAACTCCCCCCCTCCTCATGACGGCCTCCGAGAGGGACCGGACGCGTAAAATCGCGTCCACGCTCGACCGTCCCTCCCGGAAGCCGTATTGCTCCTCACTGAGCGTCAGACTACTCCGGGATAGGTGCTGGACGAGGCGGGCGTGTATTATCCTTTCGAATAACTTACCTGCCTCGTCCAGTAGGCATATCGGCCTATATGCGGAAGGACTGTCCTCCGGCTTGCCCCCCATTCTGAAGAAGACCAAATTGGCCCTCTTCTAGGGGCTGGGGAACACCCCGGTCCTCATACAGGAGGTGAAGAACCGTATTACGCGATTCTTCATCTCCGCCTCCTTCATTACCAAAGCCCATACTATGCTTGGGATGCCGTCAGGGCCCGACGCCCTTTTCTTGGCGCCGAGTTTCCTGACGGCCCTGTCCATCCCTACCTCGGTGACCCTGACTGTCTCCTCCTCCCCGTCCGGGGGGGGGCCTCTTAAGCGGGAATGCAAGCTTCCCCCCATGGAAAGAGGGCCTCCACCACTTTGTCGAGGAAGTCGGGGTCTAGGGACTCCGTTGGAGGGGGCGCCCAATTACGCAAGCGTCTCATCGCTATGTGATAAGGGCGCCTCTATGGGTCCCTGTCGATGGTGGAGACCAGGTTGTCCCAGGCGCGGGCCTTGGCAGTAAAGATGGCCGCTTTGAGGGCGCCCCGATTTTTGCGGTACGCCCCCTCGGCGGCCATCTTTCCCTCACTAGTCCTTTCCCGCCGGTCCATCTCCCCTCTGGCTCGGCCGGCAGAGCGCCGAAGTTCGGCGATCTCCGCCGACCACCAGTATACGGACCGGCGGGGATGCGGCCGGGATCGGGGCATGGCGGCATCACACGCCACCGCCATCATGCCCACGATTCCGGCCGCCTCAGCTTCAATGGCGGCCCGGGTCAGCCCATGTGGCCACCGTTAGGGCGGCCGCTAGCCTGTCGCGGTCGAGTTTGCAGAGGGCCCACTTTGGTGGTCGGGTACCCCCCTGGGCGCGCCTCAGGAGCACCTCCTCGGGGGTGGCGTCCAGTCGGACCACGATATATCTGTGGTCCGAAAAGTTTTCACCCCTGGTCACCACCCGCCAATTCTGAATTAGTCGGGCCGCATGGGGGGACGCTAGCGTGACGTCGATCACTGATCTCCCCTGCGGCCCGACAAAGGTGCTCCTCCGGCCCCTGTTGATGACACAGAGGCCGTGAGACGCGACCCATTCCTCCATTACGTCCTCCACGGTGGCCGCTTCGTCCAGGTCCCGGATGTCGGCTCTCTTCGTGGAACGCGCTATCCGCACGTCCCTTTTGTCGGCAAAGAGGGCCGACATTTTGTTAGCCAGGGCGTCCGCCCTGGCGTGTCCTTCGGGACCGGGGACCTCAAGGACCAGCGCGCCCGTAACCGCTCTCCTGGTCCTGAGATCCCCGATCCCTAGTTCTCCTAAGTAATTTGGCTTCTCGCCCGCCGCATTACGTCAGCGTAGCCGTCGGCGGGGCAGCTTACCGTGACGGCGGCGGCGCGAGGAGCCTTGGGGAGGGCGGGCTTATTCCCGCTTCCGCCACCTCGGGAGTTCTTCCCAGCCTTGCTGCCTCCTTTGATCACCGCGCCCTGTTTAGATGGCGGCTTTTGGGAGGCGGGTCTGTGGCCCGAGACTGTGGTTTCGCTGTCTTGTTCCAAGGGGGGGAGGCCACTTCCCCCACAAGAGCGGCAGGGGACGACCGTCTCCTTTTGGAACTGCTGGCCGCCCCTGCCGCTCTCCTTTTTCCCGCCTTTCTTTTTTTTTCTTCTTTCCCGGCTTTCTCTCCCCCCCATTATTGGGGGTTGAGGCAGCCGGGGATCGCTGCGGGTGCAGATGGGCCGGACAGCCATTGTGCGCCCCATCCCCCATAATCTCCCCACTCCTCTCTTTTTGGGAGGCCTTTTGAGGCCGCACGGACCGCCCCCGGATAATTCAGGGAGCTCGGCCCGTAGGGCCTCAACAATGCGGGGAACTATGGCCGTCACCAAGGCCTCTAGTTCCCCGCTGGTCGCCCCTGACGTTGCGAAGGCTCGCCCTTTGTCCGGCGAGTCCTCCGCTCGTCGCTCAACCTCATCTGCGGGGGCGTCCCCCGTTGGCCGTCGTCACCGTCGTCGCTCCACTTTTCCGGCCCCTAGAGAGCCGGTCGGCTTTTCCGCCAAAGCTAGCGGCGCGCGCCTGTAGGGGCGGGGAGGCTCCCGGGGGGAGTGTTCCCTCCGAGATGTCGCGCGCCACTTCCTCGCGGCACCGTCTCCCGATCTCCACCTCCTCGGGAGTCAGGAGTCTGGGTTCAGCGGGCCTGGCGTCTCCCCCCGTCATCCTCCCCTCAACGCTAGAGGTGGAGGCTCCCGGGGGGAGTGTTCCCTCCGCGATGTCGCGCGCCACTTCCTCCCGGCACCGTCTCCCGATCTCCACCTCCTCGAGAGTCAGGAGTCTGGGCTCAGCGGGCCTGGCGTCCCCCCCGTCATCCTCCCCTCATCGCTAGAGGTGGAGGGGAGGCGTCGGGGAGGTGCCCTTTACTTTTTTACACTAACAGCAGAGGGCGGGGAATTTTCCTCCAGGTATCCCGCCCTCTACCTCTTTCGATCTGCAGAAGAGTCCCTGCTGTTAGGACCCCCCCGCAGCCTTATTCTCGAGCTGTCGCTCTCCGGCCCATCCTCATCCACCATGGCGGACGGGGCCTCGTCTCGCAGCTTGCTGGAGGGGCCGGGTCTTCTGGCCCTCTCCAGCTCTAGTGTGAGGCTTTCGACTTAAAGGCGGAGCATCGCGCTTTCGGCCCTAAGGCGCTCGCGTTCCTCCGCATCGGCCGCCGTCTCCCGTCTTGCAGCCTCGCCCGCGCCAGCTTCATCGGAATTGCTGGCCCTTTGGACTATGGCGAGGCTGCACGCGGCCATTCTGGCCGTCGCACTCCACAGGGCTCCCCTATATACGCCTTTCAGGTTGCGGGACCTCTCCGCGACCCTTTTAATCTCGTCCACGGCTCTTAGTGTCATGGACGAGACCTCGGCCGTTTGTTGCGACCGAAGGCCGCGGAGGATCCCGACCTGCTCCTTCTCCACTTGGAGAACCCTCTGGGACGACGGTCTGATGGAGGGATCCGCGATCTCCGCCGTCAGCGCCTCATCCCCTCCTCCTCCCCCAGCCTGTCGCTATGGACGACGAGAGCGCTGACCCCGCACCTGGAGCCAGCACCCGGCCGCCCGCCCGCGGTTCTGTTTGCTGTCCGGCGCACCGGAGACGAGGATGACGACCTGGTCCGGCCGCCGCCGGCTCCCCCCCCGCCCGGTCCACCCCCGACGCCGCCAAGACAGACGGCTCATCGCCGAACGGAAGGAGGAGGAGGGGACATAGTTCTCCCTCCTCGTTCCCGCCAGAGCCACGCCCGCGCGAGGCCGACCGTGCTTGGCGCATCGCTGCACAGCGGTAGTCCGGCCCGTCCAGGCCAGCATCCACCGTGCGCAGAGTCGTCGTCTCCTCTTGTGGGCTGCTGGTGTTCAACGTGCCCTCCCCCTGCCTGCCCACATCTGAGACCGCAATGGTCGCAGCCACAGGCGTGCCTGTGGGCCCTGAGTCCACCGATGACCTGATGGTCTCGCCCTCCTTTACTACGTGAATGGGTGTAAAGTCCATAAGTAGTTTATCCCACCAGCCCCGACGGCTCGAACTTTTGGCGTGTCTCCCATCCTCCCCCTCAAATTGAGGAGGGAGGATGCCCGGCGTACTCGCCGGGAGAGGTCCTATGCCACTGGTTCCCGGGAATTCCGCACAGGAACACTGGACTCCAGCCCCCTATTCACGCCCCAGTCTACAAGGGACTGAACCGCTTTCAGGGGTCCTGCACCTCCGACCGTGCGGGCACCGTCACGGCCGCCGCCACGCGGGGAGCCCTACGAACGGACAACGGCGAAAGGGTGTTGCGACCCACCTATGTCGCGTACCGCCGTGGGCGCCAACTGATGCTCCGCCCGGGGCCACGACTTTACTATGTCGCAATCGCCGCCCCCCGGGCTCTCCGCTGTAAGGGCCGACCCGACCGACCGCCCGATGGGCAAATCGGCCGCGCCGACCCGTAATACTCTCTCGGCGCAGCGGCCGCCCGAGAGAGACAAGACCGGTTGTCATACTGGCATTTGGGACCCGGCCGCCCCCGCTGTGGGGATTAGCTCAGCGGCATCGGCCGCCCCGATTGGACAAACCGGGCCCGCTCACCTCTCCCTTAGTACTCTCGTGCGCAGCTGCCCGCACAAGAGAAGATCGCCGGCATGAGATGCCGGCGCCAATCCCAGGGTGTCTGACTCAGACCTCGAAATACATTCGAGCGGCCCGGACACCCTTCCACCGCCCGCGTACCGTGAGGCGCGCCTCCGGTGTGCAAAGACGGGTGTGGGTTCCTTCCCTCCGTCCGATTGCCGCCGTCGCCATCGTCGGACGGTTCGAGGACATCCCGCTCTCTCGGCTGCCGGAGAATCGGCGTGCGATGCCTTGAGATGCGGGATCATCTCCTCCCCCGGGACGAGCTAACGTCCCGCAGCGGAGGTCCCCCAACCCAAAATCCCCCCCGAAGGCTGGTGGTGGAGCAAGCTCCACCTAACGGCCCCAGCCGGCCGGGCGATTAGAATCAGGGCCGCCAACCCCTACCGGCAATTGCGTCCATCGGCCCTGTGAGAGTTGCCGGGCTCCCCTGCAGTGGAGGGTCTTACGTCCCTCTCTAGCAACCGTGGGGCTGCAGCCCACCGCGGTCCGGTTTTTTGTGGGGGTTTTCCTTCCCCGTTGCCGCCGTTTGCCAGCGATCCTCAGATAGGGGCCTCCCTTCCTTTTTTTTTTTTTTTTTGTAAGCCAGGGGAAATGCGTTACGCATGCCCACGATCTCCGGGGGGAGACCGCGGGTTATGTGGGGCTCCTCCCCCCCGAGGATGCTCGGGGGGCCCCTACCCACTAAAACCCCTGGCGGGTCCGTCCTCAGCGGTCATCAGGGGGCCCGCGGGAACCACTTGCGTATAACATCCGCGAACCCCCCTCCGCGGTCCTGAGGACCCCTCCCGGACCGGGGGTAATAAATCACCCCCGGTCACGCTCCTCCTGAGCAGCGGCGCGGTGCGACCCAACACCGCGCCGCCTCCCTCCCGGGCCGCTTTAATTGGAGGGTGTGCCCCCGCACACCCCCCAGGCGACCCGTAGGGGAGAGGGGGGACCGGTGGAGGCGGAGTATCCGCCCGGCACCGACCCCCCTCGACGCCGGCCTGATGTTCGGCCGGCGCCGTGGCCCCGGTCCAGATGGTCAGACCGGGGCCCTCTCCGCCGGCCGGATCCCGGGGTAACTCTCCGGGGTCCGCCGGCACGCCTCCCATAGAGGGGCAACCCGAGCCGGCCGCGTTTGGCGGTCGACCCCTGCGATGCCCCGGCGGTCTTCCGCCCGCCGGAGCACCACTCCCCATTGGGCACTTGGGACCACCCACCCGGTGGCCCTAGGCCCTTCCATCCTCCGAGCACACCGCGCAGGCCGCGCTCCCTGCGCAGTCCCGCGCGATGTGCCCCGCCCGGCCACACCGGTAACAAAGCCCACTCCGGTCAATTGACGCGGAGCAGGCCGCCCGGATGTGGCCGAGTCTCCAACACTTGTGGCACTGGAGCGGGCGAGCTGCGAGCATTTCCACCCGCGCACCCGCCCACCCCAGCGTCACTCTTCCCTCCCTGGCCACCATCGCGGCGGACTCCAGGGGAAGGCGGGCCCAAACTGTCCCGACCCCCCCCAGCCACGCCGGATGGGGCCCACCCGGATCTCTGTTGGCCCGCAATTACCGCGGGCCGCCAGAGCTCCCGTGATCTCCTCGGGGAGGACCGACTCGTCAATACCGACGAGCCGGACCTCCCCATACCTCCTGGGCCTTGTTACCGAGGCCCCGGGGAGCGCCGCCCTGACCTTATCAGCCAGGTAGTCGGCTCCCCGGTCCCTACCTTCTCTGTCTGGGCCCGCCAGCCCCAGGAGGAGGCCGCCGTTCGCGGCTCTCCTCACAAAGGCCGGACGGACCCCCATTCTCTGGAGGGGGACCTCCCGCACCCTGCGGATAGCCTCCGCGTACGAGAGGCCCCCCTCCACGCGCACCGCCACCACCGCCGTCGCCGGCGGCACCGGCGCACCCTGGGCACCATCAGGCGCCCCAAGCCCGGCGTCCCCCTTTCCCCCCATTTTGGGCCCCTGCCTCTCCTTCCGCCCGCCCCACCCGCCGCGACCCAGCCACGACCCCGCGACGGGCCCGGCGGGCACGGAGGGCCCCTCCCCGGTCGGCGGCGCCCCGGCGGCCACCGCCGACCGACGCCTCTGCACGGCGTCCCGCATGGGGGACGTCGCTCTGTCCCTCAGATCGGGCCGCACCTCCGGAAACGGAGACTCGGCCCGATCCGTCGAGTTATTCCTCCTGGCGGCCAACGCCGTCATTGAGTTCGCCGCCTTTTCCCGTTCCCTAATCAATCCCCTCCTTTCCATATTCCACTCTTCCGACTCCTGCCCCCATCTTTTTTCCTTGCTTTCCCAGGTCATCCTATCAGCACGCCACTTATGCCTCTCCAGCTCCCATTTCCCTTCTTTGATTTCCCATTCAATCCTTTCTATATCCCATTTTTTTCCTTTGCTTTCCCATTCCTTCAGTTCCTCTCTCCTCCTCATTTCTGTGTCCTCTCTTTCTTTCTCTCTGTCATCCCACCACTTTTCTCATTCCTGTATTTTCCCTTCCAGGGCCTCCGTCCTCAATTTATATGCTTTCCCGATATCCTCACAATACCTCTTCATTTCATCACTATGCCCATCTGTCTCCCCCCTCCCCTCGGCGGTTACAATATCCGCCGACGCGCCCGCCGTTGACGCGCCGGTTTCTTGTGGCCCATAGTCCGTTGACGACACGAGGGTGCCTAGGACCACAGCCCCCCCACGCCGGCCCGACGTACCCGACCCGCCGGAAGTCGTTCCTTTTTTTTGTTGTTCCATCATGTTTATTGATGGGGGGCTTGACGGCGGCCCCCCAACCCGGGCGGCTTTTAGGGCCGCCCCCCAGGGCGGTTTGGCTCAACGGAGCCTCAGGAGCCCGCCCTGCCCCCGCTGTGGATCCCCGATGAAGTATTCACCAAGGATCTTACTACTTCCGGGCGCAGCTGCCCACCCGGGAGGCCGGTTGCCGTACTGGCATAAGGGACCCGACTGCCCCCGCGGTGAGGTCGGTTCACCCGCACCGGCTGCCCTAAGGACAGCCGGGCGCGCCCGCCTTCCTCTGAGACTCTCGGGCGCCGCTGCCCACCCGAGAGACCGGTACCATACTGGCATAAAAGATCCGGTACGCTCCCCTGCTGTAGGCGCCATTGGGCTTCCCTCCCTCTCTCAAGCGAAAAGGAGGGGAGCCCTCCGGCTCCTAATACTCATGGGCGCAGCAACCCACCCATGAGGGCTTTTTAGTCGCCTTTTACGACACGCAGGCCATACGTTGGGGGTATTCTT